TTAGCGTTACATTGTGGCTAGCCCGCGAACGGGCTAGCCACAAAAAAGGCTTCACACGGCTTTTAAAATACAGTCTGGCGGTAATGAGAATCAAAAAAATTCTTTTACGTGGCCTACTGTAAGCTTTCCTTTCATCATTTGCCCGATTTTTAAGCCGAACTGCCAGGATTTTAAATAGAATCTGCCCGACAAAAAATATTTTTTTGGTGGGAGGGGGGGCAACCCCGACTGGTACGCCTATGAGAATAAATTAACGGGCTGTAGTCAGCAATTAACACGAATTACACCTATTCTGCATTTTATACTTGGTCTGCGGCAGTTGCTGCGATCTATGGCTTTCTTTCCTCAATACTCGGGTTAGAGGTTTATTGGTTTTATTAAGGGGTCGGGATTATTCTGATAAACTAAAATGAGGGTTAGATGAAGTCTATACCACTCTAAGGAAAGTTGAAGTAGGCGAAGTCAAGCAAGTGCCAGAATGCATGTTATATTCATGATTAAATTTAACAAGGGTTTGGTATTAATATTATATTTGTATTTATTTTTATTTATCTTTGATAACTGCTAACCGTTCGCATACTCTACCAAAGGCTAAGAATATCAGCATATTTGCAGCTCGCACATTGCAGAAAATGCCAGCAGACCAAGTATAAAATGCAGAATAGGTGTAATTCGTGTAAATTGCTGACTACGGCCTGTTAATTTATTCACAGAGGCGTACAGCATGAGCTCCACCTTTGAATTTACTATATGAGTAAATTCTTAAACACGTCCGAATTTATCATTATGATAAATTCACGGCAAATTTTGAATTTATCATAATAATAAATTTGCGGCACTTAACACTAACCATAACCCCAACCCTAACCACTATTAAACCCTAACCACTATCCACTAACCCTAATGTTTTTAACTTTTTAAATTTTTTTAACCTTTTTAAAAATCTAACTTTTTAAACTTTTCTTGCTTTTCAAAACTCTTTTAAAACTTTTTTAAAAACTATTTTTTTAAAAAAACTTGAAGGACTCCCCACCCACGAGCGACCAGCCTCCCTTCTAGTGCCATTACATTTATAACAGGAACAAAGGTGGAGCTCATGTTGCAGGCGTACCACTGGGGGTTGCCCCCCCCCCCATATTTTTTGTCGGGCAGATTCTATTTAAAACCCTGGCAGTTCGGCTTAAAAACCGGGTGTAAGGATATCACGTGACTCATGCATGCGAGCACATGGGACGTCGAAGGAACGTTGAACAAGGACTGAGTATAGTTGAGTTATATAGTAAAGTTAAATGTAGTTTATACGGCATAAGATAAATAAAATATATAACGTTACATGGTGTCAGAAAAGGGATTTTGATCAAAGATACAAGAACACGAAATGGCAGAACAAATCCCAGCCCCAAAACCGTTGAAACTCGATGGAAATGCAGCTGAAAATTGGCGGCGTTGGAAGAAAGCCTTCGAGCTATACATGACCGCTACTGAGAAAGACAAAAAGTCGCAGAAAATACAGTGTGCAACGTTTTTGACCTTGGCCGACGAAGCAGCGATTACAGTTTACGAAACACTCACGTTTGAAGATACAGAAAAAGATAAAATCGAGCCGTTAGTAGCGAAATTTGAAGCATATTGTCTTCCAAAAAAAAATGTCACGCACGAAAGGCATGTGTTTAACTTGAGGAAACAAAAGCCTGACGAATCGGTAGAGCAGTTTGTGACGGAACTGAAACGATTAGCAAAGAACTGTGAGTATGGAGAACTTACAAACTCGATCGTTAACGGGCAACGGCGGTAAAGATCAAAAATTTATAACAACAGATTAAATTGCAGCAGATGTGGTCAGGGAAACCATAGTTATTGATAAATGCCCAGCTATGGGAAAAGAATGTAGAAATTGTCACAAGAAAAATCATTTTATGAGTCAATGTAGAACCCGAGACAAAGAATTGCCAAAATATCCGAGAAAACATCGAGTCGATGCGGTAGAGAACAACGGTAAACAAGAGAGGGACGCTGAACCAAGTAGTGAGTCTAGTGACGAACATGAATTCTATGTTTATAGGCGGAAACGACCGCTGACAAGTCAGATCCATGGATACTTCCATTGGAACTAAACAACAGTATAGTTACTTTTAAAGTAGACACTGGCTCGGATGTCAATGAAATGAGTTATAACGAGTTTAAGACACTTCAGAACAGTGAGTTGAAACAATCGAAGACTAAACTGAAAGCATACAACGGGGGAGATGTTCAAGTGCAAGGTCAGTGTATTTTATCCTTAAAGTTGAAAGAGAAATCTGTGAAAGCGCTGTTTTTAATCAGCCCTGATGATATTAAACCTATTTTGGGAAGGGAACTTTCGGAAAAGTTAAATCTTGTGAAAAGAACATTTTCTATTGAGCAGTCGAACAGTTCGAACAATTTAACGGGCACCAGGTATACCAATGCAAAACTAAGTGAGAAATATGCTGACTGTTTCGAAGGACTAGGCTGTTTACCTCATACCGTAAAAATCGAGTTAAGAGATGATGCAACACCAGTTGTTGAGCCTTGTCGCGCAGTATGATAAGCTCAAAGACGAACTACAACGAATGGAAGCTGTGGGCGTGATTGAAAAGATCGAAGAACCGACTGAGTGGGTTAACTCATTTGTGCCAGTTACCAAGCCAAATGGAAACTTACGTGTTTGCTTAGACCCAAGAAACTTGAACAAATCAATAAAACGTGATCATTTCAAGTTACCTACACGAGACGAAGTTACAGCTCAATTTGCAAATGCCAAGGTATTTACTAAACTAGATGCCTCAAATGGGTTTTGGCAAATGAAGCTTGAAGACGAAAGTACTAATTTATGTACTTTCAATACCCCTTTTGGGAGATACAAATACTTACGACTCCCATTTGGAATCTCCAGTGCCCCCGAGATTTATCATAGAACCATTAACTCTTTGTTTAGTCATTTAGAAGGCGTAGATACTTCTATGGATGACATCATCATTTATCGATCAACCCCACAAGAACATGATCAAAGATTGGAAGCAACAATGAAAGTTGTGAAAGAAGTTGGACTGAAACTTCAAAAAGCAAAATGCGAAGTGGGT